CTCCTCCTCCCCCCCCCCGGCATTCCTGATTTTTCCCTTTAGCCCCTCTCCTACTGCTGCCTCCAGCTGCTTGACCCCCCAGACCAGGAAATTTTCACCCCCTGCTCAGACCCTGGCCACCCCCCTGCTCTGATTCGCCCCCTTTGCCACTGTCAAAAGCAGTCAGCAGAATCTTATGGCTAATAAGGGCAGGGTGAAGGGCAGTGGCTTCAGCAGATGTACTGAGCATGCTCAGATGAACTGACTACCCGGTATAAGCAAAATCTTATTCATTTTTCTCCCCTAAATGCTGAGCACTTTAAGGGAAAAAAGAAGCGAGGACTGCAGTCTGCTTGATCCTTCATTTTACACCAGCCTAGGAAACAACCACCAGACCTGATGGGTGTCACTACAGCAGCCTTGGTTGGACTGTTCTTTTGAAAGATCGTTAATGGGTCTTTTAAGATGCTGATTTTCAATGAAATCTTTTTGTTCTGGGGGGCAGAGAACACAACAGGGACTAGCTCTGTTTTGTCAACTCCTAGTCATTCAAAAGTTGAAAGGCTTTAGATTCAATTTGTTTAATGTTTGTACAGTGATTTTGAAGCGATAACATAGTATGACTGCAACAAGGAGTCCAGTGGCACCTTAAAGACGAACAGATTGGGATGCCATGCATCTGAAGAAGTGGGTTTTTTACCCACGAAAGCTTATGCCCAAATAAATCTGTTAGTCTTTAAGGTGCCACCGGACTCCTTGTTGTTTTTGTGGATACAGACTAACATGGCTACCCCCTGATTCTTGATAGCATGACTGGGCAGTGGGCAACCATCTAAAGATCTTTGTCACTTCTAGCTGTTACCTTTTTCTTACACAATAAAAGCTGGCTGCCTCCCGGACTGCAGTCAGAGCAAGGTAGGGTATGTGGTGTAGAGTCCATAGCTTGTGGGAAACACCTGCAGCAGGGCTGGGCTTTCCACTGGGCCATGTGGAGAGCTGAGGGTAGAAGCGCAAGGTTGAAAGAAGTGAGCAGGATGGGGAATGTTGCAGAGGTGTTCCCCCCCCCCCCACAGCCTCAGCTCGCCGCGCTGCCAGAAAATTCCCTGGGCGGCGGGGCTGCGAGCTCCTGCCAGGCGGCTTGGTGCAGAGCTTCCAACCTGCCCCGGTGCTCTGGGCTGCGTGGTATGGTTGGCTCTGGCT